TTTTTTTTTTTTTTTTTTTTTTTTTTTTGCAACATCCGTGATTTAAAAACCTTAATTCTATCCTGTTATGCTCTGTATAACCTTTTTTCTACCAATCCATCTAATGTATTTGTAAAAAAGAAAGTATTTAATTATTTTTATATATATATATATTAAGTGATTAAAAATATTTAACAATACTCATTTGTAGGATCCTTCATTTTACTAAAGAAGTATAATCACTCTAGGCAACAAAATGAGAGAAATATTTGAGTCAATGGCAATTGAACTAGAATGCTGGCCAAACTCAGATTCTTCTAAATTCTACTTTTTCCATACTCAAATGCAAGTAATAAAAAAAGTGTATGAATGATAAATTTTTAAATATAAATAAATTTTATCCAATTTAATACTTACATTTTTTAAAATACAAATGGTTTAATTGATAATGACTTTTTTTTTTAATCTTAGTATCAAGTTCCAAGAAAAGACGGTATAAGAAAAAGATATATAATTTATATTAACTAAATCAAATGATAAAACTATTAGCAAGTCATTCCCTTGTATCCTTGAATAAGTTCTAGTACTCGAATTCTCTGAAAAAGATGGCAATTGAGAAAAGAGTTCTCACTAAAAATAGTTGATTTGACAAATAGTTATAAAGTCTCTACTAATCTTATCTATACCTATATATAAAAATAATTATTTGTTTTTTTTTTCTTCTATATATAATACATAATTATTGAACTGTTTTATCTTTAAATTTTTAAATTATAAAATATAATATTAAAAATTAATTATTTTTATAAATTCAAGATTTAAATCTAATTTCTCAAAAGAATGAGATAAGGAATGCCTGATTTCCATTATTATCAATAACATTTATAAAAATGAATGGTGACTAACATTCTTATTTAATGCACAAATGAGTTAATTATTTTTGGGCATAATGGAGTGGGAAGGAAGTGAGGTAGCACGAACCTGTAGGAAGATAAGCTTATCTTTGATGAGAAGGGGATGATGAAGTTGTGGAGGAGGGGAAGCAAGAAGGGTGTGAAGCAGGTGGGTCCTGAAAGCGGAAAGGTCAGCTTCAGAAAGGATGTCATCATTGTGAAGCGCCACCAAGTTGAGCATCTGGCGGAGGGAATCTTGCTGCCATTTGAGGTTGTCGGAGTGAAGCTGCCAGAGCCTGTGGTCGGCGGAGACCAAACCGCGCTTCTTGAGGCCCAGCGGAAGAATGGTCTTGCAGAGGGAAGTGATGGAGTCGTGCAGAGTCGAGTAGTAGGCGGTGGGTGCCTTCGAGTACACCATTTCTCCAACCAACGATGCAAATGCAAATGCAAAACGGATCAGAGGGAGCGATGATGTGTTTCTCTTGTTTTCTTTTGTTTTGAATATGGGATGCTGCGCTGAACGGTCACATGATAGTGCGGGAACTAGCCGTTGGGTGTGTGTGGGGTGCCAAAGCAAGTGCTACGTGGCTAAGACAAGCCGGATCTTCGGTTTTTTTATTTATTTATTATATTATAATTAATTAATGCATAATTATTTAAATTATATACGCATAAATATTATAATGTATAAGATTATTAATTTGTGAAATTTTATTATAATTTAAAAGTTATTTTATTTTTGTTTTGAATTTTAATAAGAAATGATATCAAAATAAATATAAGAATTAATTTTTATAAACATAGTATAATTTATATAAAAAATTAATAAAAATAACTGTGATAAGATTCTATGAATATTATGTTAATTTGATTTTTTTAAAAAAATATTTTATAATTTTAGTTATTTTTATAAATATTAAATTAATTTATTTTATTATATTCACACCATATTATAAAAATTTTAAAATATAAAATCATTTCAATAAAATTATTTGAATTTCAATAAATAATATTTTAAAAAATATATATATTATCTTAATTTTATATTAGTGATCATGATTTTTTTTCTTTAATTTAAATTAAAATTACTAATAAAATACATTAGTATTTCATTAAAAAAATTAAATATATTAAAAAAATTAATTTATTAAATTTATGCAATATATGCTTATAAAAATATATCGTAAAATAGTGATTGAATTAGTTGTTATTAGATATTGAAATTTCTTAATTATTAATATTTAATTAACAACTTTATTAATTAAAAAATAAAAATAAAAATTATTTAATTAAATAAAAATAAAACATAAATAAAAAATTTATCTTACACCTAAAATTTATTAGACACGGACGTGGAAAACGAATGGCCGTCGTTTCCTATGCCTCCTCTAGTGGCTGGATTCCAACAAAAGTAATTGATTTTTTTTAATAAAAACCTAAGGTCTCTTAATTTTTAGAAAGCTTTTTTTTTTGTTCGTCTCTGGAGTGGGCCGATAGTAGTGACTAATCTCCTCGCTAGCCCCAAGATTTAACGCGACTGCATACACAAGGCAGGATTTGAACCCCTGACCTTGCTTAAGCATGAATCAACCCCTACCGCTGAATCACACGCTTGAGATTTAATTTTCAGAAAGCTATGTCATATTAAGTGTATGAAATTAATAAATTGTAAAATACGTATAATCATATTAGTACTAAAATAAAAAAAAGTATGAATATAATGATAATACTGATATATATTGTAATAACTCAATTTTTTCTGACAAATGTAACGACCCGTTATAGTCCCTACACTTAGAGGAATCACGCTAACGATACTAATCATCTAAGACAAAATATTAAGCTGGATAATAGAATATACACATATAGGAAGTGATAAAAGAAATTAAATATTTATATACAAAATATAGTACTATGTATATACAGTCATCCAAAATTATACTGTCCTAGTGCCGGTCAAGTACAGACAAAACAATTATTCAAAATGGTAACTCTGACACGAGGACAAAACACCATGTCTCGTAGCAGTCACAACAACTAGCTTCAACCTGACCATGACCTGTTCCCATACACAATGTGATCATCGCAGTCCATCCACATGGAAACAGAAGGGTAAGCTAGAGTTCAATAAACATTCATACAAGTATAGAATAGTAATCTATACTACACAATTATCCAATCATGTCCTAAGGGACTTCCATCTCAATCAACCATCAACCAATCAATCATGAAGTGAAACACCATACACTTCATCATAATAGCAATCATGCAATAAATGCAACTCATGACAGATATCAATGCATATCAATCATCTAATGCATCGTCACGCATTCACCTAGGAGATCTCCCTGACAACAGAGCAATATAAGTGACATCCCAATCCTACTGAAACCACCCCAACCGTTTTCACGCCCAATGCGCCCGCTCGGTCACAGCTAACCGGGATATAAATCTCCACTCGGGTTTACTTGGATGATATCATTTACACACTTAGAAGTTCGGTTCCACTGTCAGGTATAGTACAGCTGGATACAAGCTTACCACGACCTTGGCATGTATTACTAAGTCACTTGTGAAGTTCGCCCACCGACTATCTGCAAGGAACCACGCACCTTCCCCAGTACTTGGTTAAGGGAATAACCCTCGACCTCATATCCCACTCCAACACTAGCTAAGGACTGAGAGGAGACTCACCCAAACTAGTGGCCTATCCAAGCACGACTTGTTAAGTCAGACGAAGAAACTCCTAACAAAGTTTTGAGTGAGACAAATATAATACATGTTGTTATATCTAACAAGTGTGTTAGTGTTTCAAAAAAACATAAGGACAGGGAAAATGAAGAACAAGCATATGCATCAGACGACACAAGACTAACAAACAAAAGGCTAACTCAAGTATCCAACAAGTCAAATCAAGAACAAGATAAAAGCGCGTCAAGCACAACCTAAAGCGAAACACAAAGACTCATACGAAGATTGGTCAAAGATAATTTGAAAGTCTGCCAAATACAAGTTGACCAGACGAAAGGAAAAGTCAATGCATTAATAACAAATGCTTAGACAAAGGTCAAGATTTGAGCTACATATAAACTACCAGACGTAGACGAAAATTGTCATGTAATCACCTGAGGAATCAACTTTCAAAGGAAAATTTGAATATCGTCCACACTCACAGGAGAACACATGAAGTCATCGGAATTGTGAGAAGAAAAGAAGAAAGGAGAAAACCAAGTGCAGAACTAAAAGCATGCATGTGTCAGAAAAAGTACATTACTTTTCTAGACAAGGACAAAATTACACAACTATGAGACCAAAAAAGGTTCCTAGGTCTCTGCTAAACTTAGACACTGCTGCTACCAAGACAAAGAATACTTCACGCAAGGTCTATCACAAGAAGCAACATTTAATGCAAGAATCTGAATATTAAATGAGAAGATCAAACTAGTCGTGAATGAATATATCTGCTTCAACGGACACTTGCAACGGGCAGATTTCACAAGACTATATAAAGGTCTCAACATCAAACCTTAAAATGTTGGGTGTTTGGCCTGAAATGGTTCAAGCGAGAAAAAGAGTGATATCCAGCCCATGATGCAACGAAACCAGAGATAGAGCGTATAGAGTCAAATGTACCTTAGTGTATTCGTCTCTGTAAACTAAGGAGTTCCAAACGTGTACATTTTAGGAACAAAACCTTAGTGAGTGTAGAAACTTATGTATCCTCTTTGTGAGAGCAACTCAAACACTCAAACCTGATTATACATCTATCACATGTAAAGCTTGAAGAGGCTAGGAAAAGAATACTTGTAAAAGCCCGGAGGGGCTTGTCAAAGAATACTCATTGCGAGCCTAAGAGACTGATTAAAGAATACTAGCGCTGGTGAGTGAAGCTGGTGGGCCAGGAGTGGTTAAGAATACTTGGACCAGGAGTGGTTCTAACCTGGACGGTCTATAATACTCACTGCTAGCCAGAAGTGGCTGATAAGAATATACTAGCACTGGTGAGTGAAGCTGGCAGGCCAGGAGTGGTCGAGAATACTTGGAGAACCAGAAGTGGTTTGAGAATACTAGATTTGGTGAGTGAAGCTAGCCAACCAGGAGTGGTTGAGAATACTTATGACCAGGAGTGGCCGTAACCGGGATGGTCTAGAATACTCAAGGCTTGGAGACGTCGAGAATACTTGGACCAGGAGTGGTTCTGACGTGGGTGGTCCATAATATTCAATGCTAGCCTGAAGAGGTTGATAAGAAGATACTAGCTGATGGAAACTTGTTTGGAGAATCCGGATTGACGTGAATCCTCTTCAAGTTCCTCCCTAGATCTTCGGATCCTTGATCCTTCCTAAGCTTGGCTAAGGTCTCCTATGGAGGAGGAGGCCTTAAAACCACCAAGGTTTGGTGGAGAACTCTCCCAAGAGGCGCCACTCCTTGATGAAGAGATAAGCCTCTTCAATTCTCGCCGCACTCTTCTAGTGAAGGGATAAGAGAATTGGATGAATATCAAAGAGGTTTAGGGACTTTTAGAAGAGAGAAATTTGAACAATATTTCATAAATGAAATCTCAATACATCCAAAAGTGTTTTACAATGAAGGAAAAACGAAAATATAGGAGTAGGAAGCTTGGAGAGTAAGCTAGTCTTAACCATGGTTCACTAGGAACCATGGTAAGGTCTAGCTAACCACCCATGGTCTAGAGGCTTGGAGAGCAAGCT